TCAAACAATTTTGCAGAGCTTCTGTGAGGGGCAGCCTGCTAGGCGCACAACAATATCATTGTGGGTCCATCCTTTAAAATAAATTGCTGAAGTTGGTCATTGGTCGTCGCAATGCGTTATTGGTCATCGCAATGCGTTATTGATCGTCACAATGCGTTATTGATCGCCGCAACGCCTTACTGATCGTCACAATGCGTCATTGATTGTCGCAATGCGTTATTGATCGTCGCAATGCGTTATTGATCGCCGCAAGCGTTAGTGATCGTCGCAATGCGTCATTGATCGCCGCAGTGCGTTATTGGTCGTCGCAATTCGTCATTGATCGCCACAATTTGGCTATTGATAGACGCAATGCGTTATTGATCGCCGCAATTTGGTTATTGATCGCCGCAATGCGTTATTGATCGCCGCAATTTGGTTATTGATCGCCGCAATTTGGTTATTGATCGCCGAAATGCGTTATTGATCGTCGTATTTGGTTATTGATCGTCACAATGCGTTATTGATCGCCGAAATTTGGTCATTCTTCGCCGATTGTATATATGGGCCACCGTACAATCACATACACCTACTTTGCAGGCAGTTATTTCCGCTGAAGTTTGGTGCACATGAACACGTTGAGGGCGTTGCTGTACATCGTCCAGGGTAACAAAACTGACTGTCTGGACGCCAGGAGCATCTTTCTGTGAGCATACATTCATAATTGTTAATACATTCATATTGTATTTTCAAATAGCCGCCAAGATGTCGTCCAGGTCCCGAGCGAACCAGTCACGTAAATGGTTTTTGCCCTCCCCTTTCCCTCAAAATGTTCGATGTCATCGCGTTCATTGACGTGAGTACCGTGGCCTTATAGGTAATGACACAAGTAGACGGCGTGGCGGCAGATAATGGAATAATATTTGTGGCATTTTTTGAGTGGAAAAATTGTACTCGCGGACTTTTGCAAATAAAGATACGACACCCAGAGAAAACAATCGCATGCTAGGTGTTGCAGGAAAAAAGGTCGACACATTCAGATACGACATCGTAAAAATGCACTGACACATATGTCTATTCAAGTGTATTGAGTGAACTATCATCTTCTTTAACTGTCATTTACTAGATATCATTTTCTTTGTGGTGTCTTATGTCGTGAATAGATCACAACATGGAGCGACATTTTGTGACAGGACACTCAAGTATATTTAAAAAATATCATATTATATGCCTGATCGCGATTAGGAAATGCAAATCAACTAAATACTCCCTTTACTCTTTCATAGTATGAAATAAACTTACGTTCACATATCCTGTTTGGATATCCACCGTAATCTAGCAATTGATATGCAATAATATCTCCACCTCTGTCATAGTTACATCGATGACATGCTTGATTCGTTGATGACGTACAGTGTAACTGCTGACAGTTAGCAATAGCTGTACAAGCTGTAAGTAAAACGGCGAAAAAGAAATTGTTAATATATTTTATATTGCATATTGGTGACAAGGTCAAATTAACTGCATTAATGAATGGTGATGTTAAAGGCACAAATGACATTTTAGCATTACATCCATCCTATCACATGTATTTACTTAAAATGGCTAAGGCTGTTCACTGTATCTAATGTGTATATGTGTATCTTCTGCTAGGTTCAACCGATATATATATATATATATATATATATATATATATATATATATATATATATATATATA